TAGCACGGCTGAATAGGATCTTGGGGTTATACTGGTCAAAAATGGAATGAATCAACAATGTGATGTAGCTGCAAAAAAAAAAAAAAAAGAGAAAAAGAAAAGGAAAAAAGGTTAATATCATCCAGAGGAGTAGTAACAGGAATGGCACATGTAAGACACAAAAGGTAATTGTCCCGCTCTGTGGCACTGGTGGGGCCTCAGCTGAAGTACTGTGTCCAATTCTGGGCACTGCACTTTCAGGAAGATGTGAAGAAACTGGAGCAAGTCCAGAGGAAAGCAACAAGTATGACAAGAGGTCTAGAAAACAGAACCCATGAGGAAAGGTTGAAAGAGTTGGGAATGTTCCTTCTAGAGAAGAGAAGGCTGAGTAGGGACATAACCATCTTCAAATGTATATAAAAGGCTGTTATAAAGAGGATGGTTGTCAATTGTTCTCCATTCCATTGAGGGTAGGACCAGATGTAACTGTCTGTCTTTGCAGCAAGGGAGATTTAGATTAGATATTAGGAAGAACTTTGGAAGAATCAGGCTAGCTACCTAGTGGGATTACAGAATCCCCGTCATTGGAGGTGTTTAAGAACAGGTTGGATAAACACCTGGCAGGGATGGTGTAGGGTTATTTGGTCCTGCCTCAGCTCAGGGGGCTGGACTAGATGACCTCTTGAGGTCCCTTCCAGCCCTACATATCTATGATTCCTTGGCTTCTGGGGGCACATTCAGTGGTTCTTTGCACTGGAGTAAGATGAGCCGCTCTATGATTCTTTCACAGTGAATTGTAAAATAACTTGTTTGGCCTTCTGGGCACAGGAAAGCAGTACTTAATTTGCCAGGACTGAGCCCTCTTTCATTACAAACGAAGCACAGCCTGGGGGGGAAGGCACCAGAGGACTCAGCACTTGAGTGGTTTTAGCCTGTATCCTCGCTGCAAAGTTGGCAGGTTACCAGCCTGAGTGAAAGCAGCAACCAAGCTTTAGCCTATACCCCCAGCCCACTAGTTAGCCCTGCTTTAAAGCCAAACTCACTAAACTCAGGTAAGATGGTTTCGCGTGTGGACAGGACGGCGGTTAGGGGCAACACCGGACTAAGAGCCTGAGGGTACGTCTACACTTAAAAATAAAAAATGAACACACACCCTGGAGCAGTAAGTCTCAAAGCCTGAGTCAACTGGTTGGGGCCCGTGCTACAGGGCTAAAAATAGCAGTGTATATGTTCCAGGAATCTGAAACCAAGCGGGGGGGTGTCTCAGAGCGTAGCCTCCATCCTAAGCAGGAATGTCTACACTACTATATTTTGCCCTGTAGTGTAAGCCGGAGTCAATTAACCTGGGCTCTGAGTCGCGTGGCAGTAGATGTGTTTGGGTTTTTTTAGTGTAGACATATCCTGAGTGATCTCTGTAGGACAATCCTCAACTGATGTAAATCCACATAGTTCCCAGAGTTCTAATCTGCTTTCCTATCCCTCCATACACCTGGTGTGACGCAGTGGGAGTCACTAGAGTTGCTCTGGGCTGACCCTGCTGGAACTGAGATCAGAAATTGCCCCTGTGGGTATAACAAACAGAGGGGATCATATCTATTTAAGGGTAGATTTGCTGCTAGGTTCATGAGTCTGACTTGGTTGTGTGTCTCTCTTGTTAAAATGGGCTGGCAGAAGGGCGAGGGGTGGTCTACCCATCTTCCCCATTGGTACAGACAATTCTGGGCTGCGTCTGAGCAAGGGAGGGTTACCATGGCAACACTGCCAGGTATTTGCGGTCAGGTGCACTGAATGGGAACAGATAGCCGCTGAGGCCGGCGACGACGAACAGAACTAGAAGTCATTTGTCTCTCACTCACGTGCTGTCTCCCACACACAGTTGCTGCTCTCCTGTCGTCATTAAATCCTCAGGGCATGAGGAGAACGCCACTTCCTCTGAGATGAAGCTAGGCCAGGATTCCCCTTCTGCTTCCAGCTCCCACTCCGGCTGCTGCCAAGAGACAGAGCTTCTTTCTGCGGGGCAGTGGCTCTGTCGCCTTCACTGCTCCTCACCCAACCCCCATTCCAGGCCTCGTTCTCCTTTATAGCTCGGACACCCAGGGCTAGATTCTTGACCCCTGTATGGCCTATTTGCACCAGCTCTCCACCACCCTCCTTCCAGCCCCCAGGGGAGAGTTCGCATCCTTGTGCCCCAGGTATCCTCCTTCAGAGCCGTGTGCAGGCAGCACAACCTAGAGCAGCCTCTAGGCTATTCCAAGTGGCATGTTGGGGCCAGATTGGTACCCCAAGATCAGGAGCTGTGCCATCCCCCCACCCCACCCCCCCAGCTATGCCAAGTGCTGCAAGCCAGTACCAGATCAGAGCACAGTCAATGGCTCGGCAACCCCATGCTTTGAAGAGTGCCCTGCGACACTTTGTTTTCCAGCCACTCATCTCTTCCTGATATGATGCCCCTGACTGGGTCATCCGTGGGGACCGACGGCTCTAAAAGCAGCTGAGCTGCTGTACCATAGACACTCACTACAGCAATGGAAGGGGTTTTCCATCATTGTAATAAATCCACCTCTCTGAGATGCAGCCACTAGGTCAAGGGAAGAATTCTTCTGTCGCCCTAGCAGTGTCTACGCTGGGGCTTATGTCCGCTTATTTGCGAGGCACCGGATGTGAAATTGTTCACAGCCTGAGCAATGCAGTTTAAACCAGCCTCCCCTTGTAGGGTAGACCAGCCCCAAAGAACTCGGAAGACTGTGTAACAGCGCCACCTGGTGACACCTACCATAACAACGTGGCTAGGGCTGAACGTGATCCGAGCTCTGAGATGAGCTAGAGGCAGTTCCATGGAGGGTCATAGGGAACAGGGTCCTCAACTGCAGTAGAAGAGGCCAGTGAGGATGGCACTGATGTGATATTAGGACCCCAGTCTTGACCCAGGACCCCCGTTGTGCTTGGTGCTGTACAAACACAGACCAAAAAGATGATCCCTACCCCAAAGAACTTACTGTCTATAACCTTTGTCCATAAACCTGTTGTTACAAATCACTGAAACGGGAGCTAGCTGGGAAAATCAGTTTGGTATCAAAGTTATAACTAACCCCAGTAATACGGGCTCACTGCTCGAGCCTGTCTGAAAGATCCACATCTGGTCACGTAGTGGTAGCTACGAGCGACCGGTGTTAGCTCGTCTTCGTTCCTCTTGTTATGCTAAATGTCTAGGATGGGATAATTGAATTATGTCAGCATGACTGTATGAATTGTTACATAAAGATATCCTGTGGCAACCCTGTAATTTACGGCTTTGCCCCCTTCCTGTGTTGCTTTCGTACTTTCTTTACCCTTCAGATCGCCATTGCTGTGTAAATTAAAGGGTTGCTAGAACTTCAGTCTCTCCAAATGTCTAACTGAATGGGGGAACAGGCGATTTACTTAAACCGGGTTTCTGGCCTGATGCCACTAGCGTCCACTGCAGAAGATGAAAGGATCTTTAACAGCAAGCCAATAGTTTATTTATCTCGGATTATTACGATGGAATACATATTGCTCAGGGTTATGCTTAGTTATTGTCGCTCCTAGCAAGAGCAATAGAGAGACTGTAGTGGTGGTTAGAGGTGCCGAAATGACCAGCTGATGGCCTCTGTATGAGTCTGATCAGAGACTCTCATTGATTTCAGTGAGATTCATACTGGGTCATTTGTCCATGATGCATGTGTAGCTGTGTCCAGCAGCTGACCAAGTCTTCTGACACGGCTGCTTCTGGTGCTTCTCTACGGTCAGGGGGAAGCCTCTTCTCGGGGCACTCAGTCACCATGATTCAGTCCATCCTGGGCCCTTCTGTTGACTCTGCTAATGAGGGATCCTGTTTGGAAGGTGGCTTTTCAGGTATCAATTCCCATCCCCGAGGTGGTTGTCAGCCCATTTCCTTTGCACAGGTTACCAGACAGCACCAACCTCCAGCAGGGTGGTTAATCAAGAGCACCCATCCCAAACCCCATCACACTTGGAGAAGTACTGATCACAATCCAAACTTCTCCACTTAGGCCCATCTCTAGTTAGTGGTAGGCCTAGAGTCCCTGTCCTATAGGTAAAAAGAACGAGGAGTACTTGTGGCACATTAGAGACTAACAAATTTATTTTGGCATAAGCTTTCGTGGGCTAAAACCCACTTCATCAGATACATGGAGTAGAAAATACAGTAGGAAGATATATATATATATATATATACACAGAGAACATGAAAAGATGGGGTTTGCCTTACCAGCTCTAACCTGACAAATCAATTACAGTGGGCTATTATCAGCAGGAGGAAAAATCACTTTTATAGTGTTAATCAGGATGGCCCATTTCAAACAGTTGACAAGAAGGTGTGAGTAACAGTAGGAGGAAAAATTAGCATGGGGAAATAGTTTTTTAGTTTGTGTAATGGCCCGTCCACTCCCAGTCTTTATTCAGGCCTAATTTGATGGTGTCCAGTTTGCAAATTAATTCTAGTTATGCAGTTTCTCATTGGAGTCTGTTTGTTTTTGAAGTTTTTTTGTTGAAGAATTGCCACTTTTAGGTCTGTAATCGAGTGTCCAGAGAGGTTGAAGTGTTCTCTGACTGGTTTTTGAATGTTATAATTCTTGACGTCTGATTTCGTTTGAAACATTCCGATGAAGTGAGCTGTAGCTCACAAAAGCTTATGCTCAAATAAATTGGTTAGTCTCTAAGGTGACACAAGTCCTCCTTTTCTTTTTGCTCATACAGACTAACATGGCTGCTACTCTGAAACCTGTTTAAGTGAACTCAGGTCAGGTCTACACTACATGCTTAGTTGGGTACAACTACAGCACTTAGGGATGTGAAACCCCCTCCACGTAGCCAGCGCTGTGCCGGCAGGAGAGCATCTCCCATCAGCTGCATTGTTGCTACTGTGCCGATGCAGCGTTTGTCGTGTAGACCTGCCCACAGTGAAGCCGCTGTGGTGTGTATTTGTTTGTTTTATGGCTCCTCCTGTGTGCCAGTCCACAGAGCACAGGAGTTATTACAGATTCTGCCCCCACCCTTCAAGGCTTGGGGCTTTAGTTCAAGTTGGAGCAGCTAGCTTGAGCTCCTTGGTTCAATTCCTGCTATATCAGCCCACAGGCAGCCATCTCATGTACCCAGGGTTTTTCCACTGGCTTAACTAAAACCGTTTAAAATCACTCCTTCAGTTTACACCAGTGCACGTTTGTGTAGAGTAGGCCTCAGTACCTCACTCCAGATATCCTGAGCCACCTAATCCCCGTAAAGAGCAGGTTTATTGTCCTAGCCAGACTCTCAATTAGGCTAAATGCCCCTCCCCCATCTAATTTTGCACCTGTGACTAATTGTGGCTGTGACTCCATAAGCAGGGGCCAGGTCTCCCCTTGTTCCCTGCGCAGTGCTAAGATGCACCGGTGCCTAGGGTGGTGTACCAGAGCTATAGACTTATATTGCTCTTGCGAGTATATTTTTACTCAGTATAGGATTTAACTCCCTTTCAAGTCATTTCAGGCTGTCTTTCTAACAACAGCGTCTTCCCTTAATCTGTAAACTGTTCATTTACGAGGATTCTAGCATCGAGGTTATGGGACTGCATTTTTATTCCAGGGTGGTTGTTCTTGGAGTGCCTAAAATCTGTTCAAAAGTTGCATCGCTGAAAAGCAGCAGATTGTAAAATCCCGCTTCCGGACTTCTCCAAAGTTTGGCTATGAGAGTTTGTATGATCCGCATCTATCCTAAAGGGAACAGAGTTTGTTAGTTACAATAATTCTTCATAGGAACACAGGAATTGTCAGAGTGGGGCTGACCCAAAGTCCAGCTAGTCTAGTAGCTTATCTCCCACAGTGGCCAGCTGCAGAATCCCAGATGCCTTAGAGGCAGGTACAAGGAAACTCTGCAGCGGGCAGTTCTGGGATAACTTGCCCCTATGGGAAGCTTCGTCCTAGCCCCCATTAGTTAGAGACTGTCAGGATCCCAGCCATGGGATGTGGGTTGAGGCCAGAAGCCGCGGTCTGTGCTGGTGTCATGCTGAAGGGACAAGTTGGAGCTGTAGTTGATGAGCCACGCCGAGTCAGAAACCAAATGCGTCAGCGGAGGTTGGGGTAGTAGAGCAAAGGCAGGGTGAAGGGCCAGGAGCAGGGCAAGGGGAGTTGGATCCCAGGCAATGTCTCAGGAATGCAACAGGGTCTGTTTACAGCAGTGAGTCAGGGATCCACCTAGCTGCACAGATGGCCTCCAGGTGTTCACCCCCAGGCCTTAAATAGCATGCCTGAGCCAACTGGGAACTCAGTAGGAACTGCCAATCAGGGCATCTAGGGAATCCTGAGTCTATCGGACTCCTAAGGCTGCTGTTCCCTGTGCCAATGGAACTGTCCCATGGCAGCGTGGACACAGTAGCTGTCACAGAACCAGCAGGCTCCAGACCAGTGGATCCTCAAACTGTGGATCTTGTGCACTGAAGTATAGCAGTTTAGATCCCTTCCAAAACACTTGGTTTCGTGTCTTAATCCTCACTACCGGAACTGTGAAAGTTCTTATTATCCATATAAATGTCCAGCCCTATTTAGAATCCGGCATAGTTCAATGAGATCTTGTGGCAATGAGTTCCCCAGGCTATTTGCGCATTATGTGGAAAAATATTTCTTCCTCTTCTATTTTTAGATTTGCTCCCTTTCAACTCCATCAAATGTCCTCTTGTCCTTGTGTAATGAGAGGGTAAATGGAAGTGCCTGCTCTACCCTTGCTATTGGTCACTCTATCCTATAGCCTGTGTATAGCTATAACATACTGAGGCACATCCAAGAACGGTATTCTTTCCCAGACTTCTTAAAAAACAATCAGCTGTTCCTTTAATTCAGCCCTGTCAGTCTGCAGCTATTGGCATGCCAGGGATGGTGGCCGTTTGCCCTGGAAATGCTTTGCTGTCCTTTGGGCTTTCCTTTAGCGTTTCCTCTTGTTCACCTGTTGAAGTGGCGTGATGCTTTACCTCCCAGGTCAGTTCCCTGCTGGTGCTGTGTCCTCTGGCAAAGGCAGGGTTGAAAGGTTCAGCCGGCAAGTGCAGCAATAAGCGGGAAACATATGCTTCCCATGCAACTCCCGCTGAGTAGCTGAGCTAAAAATATCAGCGTGTGTGTGTGTGTTGTTTAATGGGGATATGCAATTGAAATTCACAGGTGGATTGGGGACACCTCTGGGAGGCTGGGGAGTATCCGAATAATGTTTTCCCCTACCCCAGTGCCGACAATGTCATAAATCAAATAAACCTATGTCTGTGGGGAATCCTGTCATACATTCCAGCCTCAGGAAGTTTAGACTTCAAATTAGACGAAGGTTTCTAACCATCAGAGGAGTGAAGTTCTGGAACAGCCTTCCAAGGGAAGCACTGGGGGGCAAAAGACATATCTGGCTTCAAGACTAAGCTTGATAAGTTTATGGAGGGGATGATAGGATGGGATAGCCTAATTTTGGCAATTAATTGATCTTCAACTCTTAGCGGTAGATATGCCCAACGGCCTGTGATGGGATGTTAGATGGGGCGGGATATGAGTTACTGCAGAGAATTCTTTCCTGGGTGTCTTGCTGGTAAGTCTTGCCCACATGCTCAGGGTTTAGCTGATCGCCATATTTGGGGTCAGGAAGGAATTTTCCTCCAGGGTAGATTGGCAGAGGCCCTGGGGGGGTTTTGCCTTCCTCTGCAGCGTGTACAATCACATAGTGAGAGCCAGTCCCTGCCCTGAAGCTTTCACAGCCTTTACAGGTAAAGGGCAGCCACGGGCAGGAAGAGTCACAGGAGAAATGATGTTCCAACCTGGAAAATCCCCAGGCTAGCAGATTCTAGCCCTTCCTCCACATGCCCAGGGTCTAATCTGCTGATATGGGTGGATCTGTCTATTTCTCTTTGGCAGCTGTGCCCGTACAAAGAAATCTCTGCTTTCCTGGCCCCAGCCCTCAGCTGAGCTACATAAGCGTGAAGATTAGGGGTTGTATTCTCTGAAACCAGACCGTTGTCACTCTGCATAACAATCCATCCTAACTCTGAATGGATCAGCAACAAGGAGACTGGGTGGGAGGTTTGTACCCCTATCAGCTGTCAAAAGGGACGCTCAGAAGCGCTGTCACTTTAGGTCCCAAATTCAATCAAAAAGAGAGAAAAGCTAGCACGAGTAAAAAAAGGTTCTCCTAATTGTGAACCCAAACCAGGGCTTTATGTGGGGAGGTTTAAACACCTCCCAATAGTGGCAACCCCAAGCATTACAAAATCCTGAGTCAGTCGTCAGAACTCATGAGATTGGCTTTTAAAATCATGAGGTTTTAAACAATAATAAACTTGGGGCTTGTGTTTTCCAGCCGTTTCTCCACGACCACAGGGGCTAGCTACACTGTTCTATTTAGCCCTGTAGTGTGATCAGGAGTCAATTAACCTGGACTAGTGTAGTTATGTCGTAATACATGCTCTAGGAACCGAACCACTGCAGCCTCCTGGGATCATCTCAAAGGGATCCCATCGCTGGGACGTGGGAGCCAACAAACCGGTGCCCCTTGCCTTTACCCCGCGTTATCCAATATCACGTAGCAGCCCTTCGGAGACCTGATGACTGGAACAATCCTGGAAGAGGAGGAGACTGTGTCAGAGATGTACAAGCAACACCACCAGCCTCTGTCTTATGAACCTCTGGTCTTATGTTAGTAATCAAACTACACGTCCTGCTAATGCACCACGTGGTGCCTAGACATCATGCAGAGCCGATCCGCGCCTGCCAAGAGTCAGGGGACAGAGTGAAGGCAGCTGGCTTCAGCAGTTGTACTGAGCATGCTCAGTACAAGCCAAGCAGCAAATCTGGAGGGGGGCACATGACCCCGCATGCTCCTTCCTCCCCCTCTCTCCCTCCCCCAATGCATCACCTCTGGCATCATGGACAAAATTAAGGTTGCAGGAACAGTTATATATGTCTGTAAGCAGTCTCTTCTTTTTCTGAAACTTCCTTCTTTATGGGATTGCTCCTTGGAGATGTTTTTCCATGAAGCCATTGTGTGACTGGGAAAAGGCCAAGCTGAAGCAATGGGCTAGACAGTGGCAAGCCTTGGCTTGTTCTGTTCTTCCATAACTGTGGCTGCCAAGACCTTCATCCATGGGACCATCAGCTGGTGTGGTGAGTCATGGAGAAAGAGGTGACCTCTGAGATCTGCAAAACCCACGAAGGGCTGAGCCAAGGGACTTCTGACCAAGAATCAGAGAAGTGGAGAGCATGGAGCAGTGCTGAGAAGTGGCCTTGACTGCCAATAAGCAACGTGCTTGGTACTTAAACAAGATGACGTAGACCTCCCCCACTACTGTTTAGTTCAGACCCAAGCAGTCCATGGAGCTGTATAAAAGGGAAACATGCTCTGTCATCAGCTCAGATCTTGGTGTGCCAGGGGCCTGACACCCCCCTCACCCTCCCCACACAAGCTCAGCATCTAAGGGAGAATTTGTTTTTCCTGAGGTAAAATATTATCCCTGGAATTTAAGTCCACCCCACCCCGCCCCATCTGTCTGAGCTGTTTCCAAACTGTCTTCAGAGGATGAGCAAATCTGGCCATGTGAAAATATCAGTTAGCAAATCGTAGATATTGGACTGAAAAGGAGCCCATTGGCCAGCCACCCCTTCCATCTCAGGACCTGATGACTCCCACATCCTGGGGACCAATTGAAACCACTCTTCCTACCCCACCCTCCCTCAAGGGAATCAGCTGGGGCTGAGGGGTTTTGCACCGAACATAGGGAAGAGCAGGATGTGGCCCGTTCTACGCTCCAGGTTCAATCTGAGTTTGGGGAGATGGCGGTGTGTCTTTTTCTGATCTGAACCAGGTGCCCATCCCTGCCTGCTCAGAACATCTAACACCTTCCCTCTGAGGCTATCAAAGCCCTTCACAGTGGAGCTGTGCAGAGATGGATATTCTGTTTCACGGAGGATTTGGAGATTTTTAAATTCTGGCTTCATTCAGAATCCGTGTGAGAACGGGAAATTTCAGAATTCTCCACGAAGGAGAATTCAGAGAGAATCAGACTGATCAGAATGTTTTTTTGTTTGCTTGTTTTTCACCTTTTCAAATGAAATCCCGGCAAAATCCACCTGATTTTGTGAAACATCAGTGTCTATGGAGCCACATATTCCAGTGACATATGGTTCCATGTAGATATCCCTCATCAGCTCCACTTCAGACACCCAGGGCCCAACTATATCCTGACTTGTGCCCCTTGATTTCAGGAGGGGGAGTCCATGGAGAGAAAATCAGGGCAGAATTTCTTTGATTTATGCACACAGCAGGACTGTGTGTCTAGGGCAAGACTTGGGGCTCCCCCATGTGGTGCCATTGTCTGGCCCAGGCTGTGTGAAACAGTCCAGAGCCTGGGAGAATCACAAGGTGTATCTGTATCTAGCAGCCTCCAAAAAGAATCCCCTTTATTCATTGTAGTAGGGAGGCTCTTTCCTTAGAGGTTGCAATCTGTAAGCATGGCTGAACCCTACTGCCTTGCAGATTCTGCAGAGCCAAGATCCATGAATGCAGGGTGCTAGTTACCTGTGCCCTATTGCACTGTTCAGAGCACCTTCCTAGGACCATTTCACCCTGGCTATGTTTGTGCTTGCATAGAGGAATGGATCTAACATGCAGGCTCTTAATTGGAGAACTGGGTGTGAGACCAGCATGAAACCTGTAACATTCAGCAGCGGGCTGCCAGTTGGCAGGGATTCTATACACTCACCGCTCTCCTAGCATGATCCACTATTCTAGGGACTAGGAACCTCCTGAATGGATCCTGCTGCAAGTCCCACATTCCTACCCGTGCCTTACCAAGCACACTGCCCCAGCCTCATTAAGCCCCGCAAGCCGCGTCAGTACTATTTTGGAGAACAAAACTGGACTGAAACAGCTGAACGTCTGCTTTGGGAATGAAAGCATATGGCATCCAGCCCTTTGGCTAAGAGCCATGAGAGCATCTAATGTATCTTATTCTGTACTGGTTACAGTCGTTAGCCATTTCTCATGGGTGATGTTTTAAAGGGCTTGTCAGAGCAGTAGGTTAGAGCTAGGGATGGGGAACCTCAGAGTTTAGCACTTCAGTGTGGAGAAGTCCCAAAAGCCTAGATGAGTTATTCCCAAACTAGAGAGACAGGCCAGATTCAGCCCCCACTTTCAGTATCAAAGGTGGAGGGGAATGATCCAAACAGTCCCCGTTGTTTCGGTTCCAGGTCACATCTGGGCTGCAGCTTAGGAATGCTGTTCTGAAGCGTATGGACTCACAGGACCACCAAAGATCTCTGAGGGATGGAGAACCCATCACCTGTTCCACCCCTCCTATGATTCATCTCCCACCATGTGACTTCCCAGTGCACCATGCCACCCAGTTAGAGGAAAGACGTACTCTAGCCAGGGAGCCTGACCTATAGGAGAGAATGGGGGTCTGAACTACAACTCCCGAGAGACAATGTGCCTCAATAGGAAAATGCAGGTTAATGTGGGACTGAACCAAAATATTTTGATTCAAGTCAAACCAACCTGAAGCAAAATATTTTGTTTTTTTCCAGTGAAAAAAATCAGAAACTTCAGCAAAATCAAAATTTTCCTGGTGTAAATTTCAGTTCTGTGGAAATTGCGTTTTCTGTCGGGGAAAATCAACGAGACAGAAAATTCCTGCCCAGCTCATGTGGCAATGAGTTCCAGAGGTTAGTTAAGTGCTGAGGGGAGAAAGTGTTTGCTTTTATCAGTTTTAAATTTTGTTGCCGTTTGGTTTCATTGATTATCCCTGTGCGCTTGCATTGTGAGAAAGGGAGGCAGACACTGTGATCTCAGCATTGTTCCATGCACTCTGATAGAACAACCTCTTCCAGGGAGACACGGTGCCAAATCCTACATTAATTTACCCACAGTAACACCAGTGAAGGACTGTGTGAATCCGACATATGTGCAGAACAGTCTCGCTGAAGTTTGGAAAGCTGGCGGTTGGAGCATTGCCACATTTTATTGCCAATTCAATTTTGGCCTTAGTGCGTATTTAGCTATAGGACTATGTTGCTATTTCTCTGTCTGCACATCACACGTTCAAATTCCTAAGGACCGTGCTGGATGCCGAGATAGATGAGTTCTTTGTGCTGAATTCAGGGGAGATGCCCAGATGCTGTGTTTTCATGGAGACTCGACTTTCTTCCTTGTTTCGGTCTTCTTTTGAGGGTCGTTCCAGCTGCAAGCATCAGTGTGTGCTTTGTTGTATTGAAACCTATCTGGCCAACCCATGCAAACCCAGAATGACTTCCTGTCTCCCTTTGGTAACAAGCCCACATATGGACACTAATGAGTCTGCTACTGCTTATGGGAAGGCCATGTCTACACCAGCGAACCGATGCAGTTGTGACACTGTGAGATCACTCATGTGGCCACTCTATGCCGACGGGATGGGGGAGAAGCTCCCCCGCACACAAGCGCTTATGCCAGTGAAACAAATGTCGCTCAGGGAGGTGGTTTTTTTCACACCCTGAGCGACGTAAGTTTTGCTGACATAAGTGGCAGTGTAGACATGGCCTCGAGGAGCTGGTCCTTTAGCTCAGACAGTTGCGGCTGCTCCTTCTAGCAAGTCGCAGGTCCAGACCCTGCCGGTGACACACTGGGGTGACATTTTGCCTTTTCAGTGCAAAAATGCAGTGGAAAATCTTTGCGATCCAGTTTTAAATATGTTGCCTTTCTGGCACGTTTTTGAGCATACTGGTTGCACAGTAAGACAACGTGCGAAATGTCACGGGGTTTTTTGCTACTGCATTTAACAAATACGATGATTTTTGGCTGGGGGAAAATAATTGCAGTGGGAGATTTTGCACAGCCTGCATACAGTCAGTGCCGCTGCTCGTTGCAGTGGTGCAGGGAAGCTCCTGGCCCAGACTCAGTGGGCTCTGCCTGTTTTCTGTTCTATTTTCTCCCCCTTCACATGGCACCAGCCAAGCTCTCAATGACTATCTCTGGGCAGCTTGAAAAGCTGCAGATCTTGACATTTAATGAAGCTTCTCCCAGTAGCTCATTTGGAATGCCGAGCCGGCTGTTGATTCCACAGGGCCACCGCAGCTGTTTGTCAGGTACCCTTGACAGCCCTTGAAAGAGTTAGCACACCCTGGGGGGGGAAGGGGAGAAGGGAAACACATTTCGATTACGAAATCAATGCACGAGAAGTATTTACCAGCCAGAACCTTGTTGCTCTTTGTACTAATGAAGCTGTCCCCTCGCCGAGATGGTTTCAGTGCCGGTTACCCAGAGAAGCTGCCGCCTCAAGGAGTGTGAAGAGCATCTTTGTAAGTTCAGGAGGATGGCAGGTGCTAACAGCCGAGCGATGCTGGAACAAATCAGAGCCGCAGGGGTCAGCCATGTTCTGTCATTTCCCAGTCGGGTGTATTAATTCTCTTTTCATCAAGTTCCTTTGGAAGAGGAAGGAAGCAGCAGGGTCTAGTGGGTACAGCAGGAAGCTGGGCAGCTCTGGAGACAGATTTCAGAGTAGCAGCCATGTTAGTCTGTATCTGCAAAAAGAGAAGGAGTACTTGTGGCACCTTAGAGACTAACCAATTTATTTGACCATAAGCTTTTGTGAGCTACAGCTCATTTCATTGGATACATGCAGTGGAAAATACAGTGGGGAGATTTTATATACACAGAGAACATGAAACAATGGGTGTTACCATACACACTGTAATGAGAGTGATCAGGTAAGGTGAGCTATTACCAGCAGGAGAGAGAGAAAAACCCTTTTGTCGTGATAATCAAGGTGGGCCATTTCCAGCAGTTGACAAGAAGATGTAAGGAATATTGGGCCGGGGGGTAATAACCATGGGGAAATAGTTTTACTTTGTGTAATGACACATCCACTCCCAGTCTTTATTCAAGCCTAAGTTAACGGTGTCCAGTTTGCAAATTAATTCCAATTCAGCAGTCTCTCATTGGAGTCTGTTTTTGAAGTTTTTTCGTTTAAGAATTGCAGCTTTTAGGTCTGTAATCAAGTGTCCAGAGAGATTGAAGTGTTCTCCGACTGGTTTTTGAATGTTCTAATTCTTGACGTCTGATTTGTGTCCATTTATTCTATTACGTAGAGACTGTCCAGTTTGGCCTATGTACATGGCAGAGGGGCATTGCTGGCACATGGTGGCATATATTACATTGGTAGATGTGCAGGTGAACGAGCCTCTGATAGTGTGGCTGATGTGATTTAGGCCCTGTGATGGTGTCCCCTGAATAGATATGTGGGCACAGTTGGCAACGGGCTTTGTTGCAAGGATAGGTTCCTGGGTTAGTGGTTCTGTTGTGTGGTGTATGGTTGCTGGTGAGTATTTGCTTCAGGTTGGGGGACTGTCTGTAGGCAAGGACTGGACTGTCTCCCAAGATCTGTGAGTGATGGATCATCCTTCAGGATAGGTTGTAGATCCTTGATGATGCGTTGGAGAGGTTTTAGTTGGGGGCTGAAGGTGATGGCTAGTAACATTCTGTTGTTTTCTTTGCTGGGCCTGTCCTGTATTAGGTGACTTCTGGGTACTCTTCTGGCTCTGTCAATCTGTTTCTTCACTTCAGCAGGTGGGTATTGTAGTTGTAAGAATGCTTGATAGAGATCTCGTAGGTGTTTGTCTCTGTCTGAGGTGTTGGAGCAAATGCGGTTGTATCATAGAGCTTGGCTGTAGACAATGGATCATATGGTGTGGTCTGGATGAAAGCTGGAGGCATGTAGGTAGGCATAGTGGTCAGTAGGTTTCCGGTATAGGGTGATGTTTATGTGACCATCGCTTATTAGCACCATAGTGTCCAGGAAATGGATCTCTTGTGTGGACTGGTCCAGGCTGAGGTTGATGGTGGGATGGAAATTGTTGAAATCATGGTGGAATTTCTCAAGGGCTTCTTTTCCATGAGATGATGATGTTATCAATGTAGCGCAAGTAAAGTAGGGGCATTAGGGGACGAGAGCTGAGGAAGCGTTGTTCTAAGTCAGCCATAAAAATATTGGCATACTGTGGGGCCATGCGGGTACCCAGAGCAGTGCCGCTGATTTGAAGGTATACATTGTCCCCAAATGTGAAATAGTTATGGGTGAGGACAAAGTCACAAAGTTCAGCCACCAGGTTTACCGTGACATTATCGGGGATACTGTTCCTGACGGCTTGTCGTCCATCTTTGTGTGGAATGTTGGTGTAGAGGGCTTCTACATCCATAGTGGCCAGGATGGTGTTTTCAGGAAGATCGCTGATGGATTGTAGTTTCCTCAGGAAGTCAGTGGTGTCTGAAAGATAGCTGGGAGTGCTGGTAGCGTAGGGCCTGAGGAGGGAGTCTACATAGCCAGACAATCCTGCTGTCAAGATGCCAATGCCTGAGAGGATGTGGCGTCCAGGATTTCCAGCCACACTATTAGAGGCTCATTCACCTGCACATCTACCAATGTGATATATGTCGTCATGTGCCAGCAATGCCCCTCTGCCATGTATATTGGCCAAACTGGACAGTCTCTACGTAATAGAATAAATGGACACAAATCAGACATCAAGTATTAGAACATTCAAAAACCAGTCGGAGAACACTTCAATCTCTCTGGACACTTGATTACAGACCTAAAAGCTGCAATTCTTAAACGAAAAAACTTCAAAAACAGACTCCAATGAGAGACTGCTGAATTGGAATTAATTTGCAAACTGGACACCGTTAACTTAGGCTTGAATAAAGACTGGGAGTGGATGTGTCATTACACAAAGTAAAACTATTTCCCCATGGTTATTTCCCCCCCGGCCCCACTGTTCCTCACACGTTCTTGTCAACTGCTGGAAATGGCCCACCTTGATTATCACAACAAAAGGTTTTTTTCTCTCTCTCCTGCTGGCAATAGCTCACTTTACCTGATCACTCTCACTACAGTGTGTATGGTAACACCCATTGTTTCATGTTCTCTATGTATATAAAATCTCCCCACTGTATTTTCCACTGCATGCATCCAATGAAGTGAGCTGTAGCTCACGAAAGCTTATGCTCAAATTTGTCGGTCTCTAAGGTGCCACAAGTCCTCCTTTTCTTTCTGCTCATGGAGTTTCTTGCTCGGGTAAACATCATTACCCCTTTGCCCTGAGTGGTTGTCCAATATTCAGGGCTCTGCAGGTTGCATCTGTTAGGAAGGGAAATCGATTATACAAGTCAGGGATATTGTTGTTCACTTTTATCATAGAATATCAGGGTTGGAAGGGACCTCAGGAGGACATCTAGTCCAACCCCCTGCTCAAAGCAGAACCAATCCCCAATTAAATCATCCCAGCCAGGGCTTTGTCAAGCCTGACCTTAAAAACTTCTAAGGAAGGAGATTCTACCACCTCCCTAGGTAATGCATTCCAGTGTTTCACCACCCTCCTAGTGAAGTTTTTCCTAATATCCAACCTAAACCTCCCCACTGCAACTTGAGAACATTACTCCTTGTCCTGTCCTCTTCTACCACTGAGAATAGTCTAGAACCATCCTCTCTGGAACCACCTCTCAGGTAGTTGAAAGCAGCTATCAAATCCCCTCTCATTCTTCTCTTCTTCAGACTAAACAATCCCAGTTCCCTCAGCCTCTCCTCATAAATCATGTGTTCCAGACCCCTAATCATTTTTGTTGCCCTTCGCTGGACTCTCTCCAATTTATCCACATCCTCCTTGTAGTGCGGGGCCCAAAACTGGACACAGTACTCCAGATGAGGCCTCACCAATGTCGAATAGAGGGGAACGATCACGTCCCTCGATCTGCTCGCTATGCCCCTACTTATACATCCCAAAATGCCATTGGCCTTCTTGGCAACAAGGGCACACAGCTGACTCATATCCAGCTTCTCGTCCACTGTCACTCCTAGGTCCTTTTCCGCAGAACTGCTGCCTAGCCATTCGGTCCCTAGTCTGCAGCTGTGCATTGGGTTCTTCCGTCCTAAGTGCAGGACCCTGCACTTATCCTTATTGAACCTCATCAGATTTCTTTTGGCCCAATCCTCCTATTTGTCTAGGTCCCTCTGTATCCTATCCCTGCCCTCCAGCGTATCTGCCACTCCTCCCAGTTTAGTATCATCCGCAAATTTGCTGAGAGTGCAATCCACACCATCCTCCAGATCATTTATGAAGATATTGAACAAAACCGGCCCCAGGACCAACCCCTGGGGCACTCCACTTGACACCGGCTGCCAATTAGACATGGAGCCATTGATCACTACCCGTTGAGCCCGACAATCTAGCCAGCTTTCTACCCACCTTATAGTGCATTCATCCAGCCCATACTTCTTTAACTTGCTGACAAGAATACTGTGGGAGACCGTGTCAAAAGCTTTGCTAAAGTCAAGAAACAATACATCCACTGCTTTCCCTTCATCCACAGAACCAGTAATCTCATCATAGAAGGCGATTAGATTAGTCAGGCATGACCTTCCCTTGGTGAATCCATGCTGACTGTTCCTGATCACTTTCCTCTCATGTAAGTGCTTTTACTAAGTGCTGTTTCCTTAGACACTGTAGAAACTGCCAGTGGCTGTTTGTGTCCTTGCACCGAAATCCTCAAGTCTGCCACTCCAGCAAACTGTGCAAAGAAACTCTGTCTCTCTGCTCCTCTCAAGGTGACCCAACTCCTGATGGCTCTCTGCCTCCAACACACAGCCTGCAAACCAATATTCTAGCCCCTGAGTTTGCAATCGGGGAAATCCCTCAGCCCATACAATTAGATGCCCTGTGGCCTATTGCCTCTCTCTTTGCAGCGGTCTTCACTACGTAAATGGGCTTAATTGCTTCTTCCATTGAGCCTGAAGAGCGTGTTTGGCATACCCATTGGTTTTAATGAAATCCATGATTGTCTCTGGAGCAAAGACCCCCCGTTGATTGCACCTGTTAGCACCACTCAGAATAAGCAGGGCCCATGATGCAGGACAGTGGTGGATAGCAGGGGAAATTGATGGGGGATTGGGAAGGTGGATGTGGGTGGGTTTTAGCAGCTTTGCCCCCTTCTTCCATTCCTTTGGGAGTATAGTGAGGCCAGCAGGGAAATCTGAATCAGGTTTAAAACTAGGCTTGGAAGGATTCGATTTTTATTGGTAAATGTCCATTTCATCTCTCTCTCACACACACGCATGCACGCGATGACAAAATATTTACATTGATAATAATGGAAATTTACAGGTAGGCAAAGTAAGAAGAATGCTGCTTGTGAACTTATGAGTGTCAAAATCCAGTGATTTAGCCTCTTGAACGGGGCTTGTTAAGAATGGGCTAGTGAATGAAGAGTACAAACTGGCTGATTTGTGGATTTAAGGACATTTACTTGGTATATTTTTGACATGGGATATTGATAAGCTGTGGTTTAACAGTTTAGAAAGCTTTCATTTTTTCCGTCTCAATGCCTACTGCCGTTAAATAGTGACCTGCCCCTCCCATGATTTCCTGTGACTATGAACATTTGACTAGAGAGAGAAAAATGTATAAAACTCATAACTTCCCACAACTGTGAACATTTAATTTTTTTAAAGATTTTTTTTA